CCGTGCGCGTGCTGTATACTCCGGATGTCAAGGACGAATCCGCGCGCCACAGCGCCGCGAAAAACCGCAAATTTTCGTCCGTATTATCCTCTCCTTAAAATGCGGATTTTTTTTTACCTGCACTGAGTTGTAACTCGCGAAGGCGGAGTTCATCGATGGCATAGACCGAAGTTACGCTTCATGTGACGGACCGACAGGCTTCACGGCAAAGGTCGCAAAACTAGGGACAGACTGGGATATTTTCGGTGCGCGAATAGTCATGGCGTCGCCAGACTTACGCGCCGCTGGGTTTGGCATTGATCGCATTGGGGGAGGGGCCATCATGGCAGCGAGCGGATCGACGGACATTGCAGGGCTGGAACTAGAACGCCTGGGCAGTGCCACCACGTCTGTTTGAGAGCTCTTCAGCTCATTAACTTCGGAGGATAGTGCCGCAATTGTTGGTGGAACTTTGGGGGGTCCTGCTGGCGGCCCTTCGATTCTGAGATCTGGGACACTGCCATCTGCATCTGGGAAGACCCAGCGCTTGAGAGTTTTGTCATAATATGCCTCCATTTTGGCCGATGTGTCATCGAGGCTTACCTGCTTTGCATCGGGGTAAAGAACAGATGCAATTTTTCGACGAAACCAGCCTGGCTTGGCATCGAGAGACGCATCCTTGCTAGGTACCTTGCTCTTTTTCCGTGTCTCCACGTTCGGCCCTTGCACCGAGCCCTCCGGGGCCGATGGTGGTTTACCGTCAACCATCACCTCCTGCGGTACAGCCTTGGTACTAAAATCATCCGGCTCGACGTCGGGAGTGTGTACTTCTGTTCGCTGACTCGTGGATGATACTGAGGACGATTGCAAGCACTTGGATGTCGCGGGTCGCGCGGAGCATGGCATTTTCTCAGGTGCTTTCTGTGGGAAGAGCTGATGAGAACCATTCCTTGTACCTGTTCTCGTGTGATGCTGGCTGAAGTCCGCCGTTCGCTGCGTTTCAGTTGATTCTGACGAATGCTGGTCCTCGGTCGATGATGATTGTACCACCCCAGACCCAGAGATCACTGCTGGCAATTGTCGGTCTAAAATAGCAGCTTCGCTTAGATGACCTGCATCGCGGTCTAACAGAAGCGACCTCTGACATGTAGGCTCGTGAGACTTAGAGTGAGAGCAATTGGGCTGGGAGATCTTAGGGGTGACAACAGGAGTAGCATCGAGCATAGGGACATTCCGAATGCTGTCGCCTTGCGCGCGGGAAAAGTTAGGGTTTTGTGGGCTCGTGACATCCTTACAAGACATGCCTTTCTGGGTTGCTTTAGTAGAGTCCTCACATGCCGTTAGAGCGGTGAGTGTATCACCCGCCCATGAACCTATCTTCCCTAGGACAGAATTGCTTAGACTGCTCGGGGTTTCAGCTTTATGAGGTTGCTGTGACTCAATAACTCCATGACCAACAATGCGGTCTTCGAGGACGGCCAGAGCATTGAGGAGAGAGCGGCATGAAGTTGCAATGGGAGAAGATTGTGCGACCTGGTTTCGTCCGTCAACGCTAGTGGAACCCTGATGCGAGCAGGTCCCGTTGGCTGTGCTTGCTGCGCGAATGGCGCCACAGATTGCCCAGGCGGGGTTGAACTGGCCAACATCACAAAGAAACTCAGCGTGTAAAAGCCGAAAACGGCCAGCATTGTGATTTGTTAGTCCACCTCGGAGCCCCAAGGCAAAGTCGAGAACTTCTGTCCTGCGCATCGCAGAGATAATATGCGCAAAAGAGGCTCGCTGTGTGCTATCAGCATGACACCAACCCAGAAGAGCGACCCGATTCATTGGCGTCGGTGACCTGAATGGTTGCTCACCAGCAAGCATGTAAGCAAGGTGGGCAGCGCAAGCACCCAACGCGCCAAATTCAGTGCTAAGCTCATCACCCAACTCCCCAATCACGTTGGAAGTCTTCCTAGGCAGAACGCTCGCATAGGCCAGAGCTGTTGCGAGGACTGTGCACCAACGCTCACCTAGCTTCCTCTTCCGAAGCTCGTCGCCGGGGGGCGCGTCAGCGCTGTCATAGAGTACGCGTCTCCTTGAGAGGTTCCGAGCCGATGGGCATTCTGTTGATGAGGCGATAATTCTGAGGCAGGTGTGCGTCGCTGACCAAGGCTCAACTTCAAAGTCCAAAAATCGTCGAAGTACGGACTCACGCACGGTGCCTCGATCATCAATTGCATCAGCAAGCGCTAGGGCAAGGGCCCAGGATCTGCCATCGATTGCAAGATTGATCGCCTCCATCGCGTTGCCCTCGGCAAGGAGTGACTCGATCTCGCCGACAGCTGTAAATGATGTGGAGTGGAGTGACTCAAGGGATGAGCTGTTGTAAACCATCGATGGGACGGGCGCCTTGCGTGCTGAACTCAGGTCCGGAGCAGCCATGTTAAGAAGAACAAGACGCACATGAGCGTAATGATCCGTATTTAAATCGTGCTTGTCCTTTCCCTTAGGATCCATGCGAGCCACGAGCGTTTGATCCTTAAGCAAGGCAACAAGGAGAGCGTGTATTGATGCCCACAACACGGTAGAAGTTTTTGTTCGACCCAAGAGCAAAGAATTTTGATTATTTGAACTGCATTCAGAGAATTCAACACACTTAGCTGCGAAGCCTCGCCAGTCTTGGCCGCTTGGAAGGGAGACGAAGCCCCTGGCTGACAGCAATGGGTAAGGGAATGTCGCACTGCTTTCAGCGCATGATCCACCCATAAGCAGAATTTCCTCAGTGTCAAGATTTTGTAATCGACCTAGCAATACTGGGCGTTTATACTTGGATGCTCCAGAATCACAATCAAAACCAGCTGTCGAAAAGAACGGAGCAACTAGGCGAAGATGCGACCCCACAGTCGCACTTCGGCCCCCAAAGCCGAAGGAAATGCGTGCACAGCGCGGCTTCAACCAGCGGTCCAGCGCATTGAATGATGTCACATGCTGAGAATCAAATCCGTCGGCAAAAAGAGCAGAGTCAGAGTCAGAGACTCTTTCGATAAGATCGTCGGATCGTAGTGGCTCCTGTCCACATTGCGATATGATCGAAGGATCCACGAAGTAATGATCCTGGGATGTCACAGACCGCCCGAGTTGGCCTCTCGCGACTCCGTCTTTACCGAATGACGCTCCGCTGAAAGGGGCAACCTCTGACTCGCCAGCTTGACCGAACGGATCCCCGCTGACAGGCGCCCCCTCGGACCCAACCACCAGCCCAGACTCGCCATTCGCCCCAGCCTGGCCAAACGGCGCGCCACTGAAAGACGCCTGCTCTGACCCACCGACTTGGCCGAACGGCGCTTTGCTCAAACGCTGCTCCTGCTCTGAGCCGCCGGCTTGCCCGAACGGCGCTCCGCTGAAGGCTTCCTGCTCTGAGCCGCCGGCTTGGCCAAACAGCGCTCCGCTCAAACGTTGTTCCTGCTCTGACCCGCCGGCTTGGCTGAAGACCGCTCCGCTGAATCCCTCCTGCCCTGACCCGCCGGCTTGGCCGAACGGCGCTCCGCTGAAACCCTCCTGCTCGGACCCGCCGGTGTGGCCGAACGGCGCTCCGCTGAATCCCTCCTGCTCGGACCCGCCGGCTTGGCCGAACGGCGCTTCGCCCAAACGCTGCTCCTGCTCGGACCCGCCGGCTTGGCTGAACGGCGCTCCGCTGAATCCCTCCTGTTCTGACCCGCCGGCTTGGCTGACCGGCGCTCCGCTGAATCCCTCCTGCCCTGACCCGCCGGCTTGGCTGAACGGCGCTCCGCTGAATCCCTCCTGCCCTGACCCGCCGGCTTGCCCGAACGGCGCTCCGCTGAATCCCTCCTGCTCTGACCCGCCGGCGTGGCTGAACGGCGCTCCGCTGCAACCCTCCTGCTCGGACCCGCCGGCGTGGCTGAACGGCGCTCCGCTGAATCCCTCCTGTTCTGACCCGCCGGCTTGGCTGACCGGCGCTCCGCTGAATCCCTCCTGCCCTGACCCGCCGGCTTGGCTGAACGGCGCTCCGCTGAATCCCTCCTGCCCTGACCCGCCGGCTTGGCTGAACGGCGCTCCGCTGAAACGCTGCTCCTGCTCTGACCCGCCGGCGTGGCTGAACGGCGCTCCGCTGCAACCCTCCTGCTCGGACCCGCCGGCTTGGCCGAACGGCGCTCCGCTGAAAGCTGCCTGCTCGGACCCACCGGCTTGGCCGGCCCTGCTTTCCGGCTGGCTGGCTTGACAGAATGGCAATCCGCTGAA